CTCAGCCTCAAAGAAGTGAATATTACTTATAATATACTGTGCAATCACATATTAAGAGTTTTTAGTCAGTTCAAGTTTAAAAATTAAAGTATAATATTTGCTTTCGCTGCTTGTTACTTCTTGAAGAAAGTGTTGTTTTTGGTTTATACATTTTTGCACTTTATTTTATTGTATTTCAATCCAATTATGTTTTAAAAATATTTTATTCGAGTAAATGATCGAAAATTACTGTACTATTATTTGTTTTTCTTTTAAGTAAATTTAGCCTACTTTTGCTAAAAGAGAAAATATGGACTATTGATAGTGCCTTGAATAATATCGGCTTCTTTCATTCATGTTATGGGTATTTTTATACAAAGGAAATTTTTTTGTGCCTGTTGAAAATTAAAGTTTACCGACATAGCCATAAAAAAAATGTTGCTTTATTTATCTGACCATATTGGAATGTATTTGTTAGGTTTTCAGTCAATTAAATTTGGTTCAATAAACAATATGTGGTCATTTTTAAAATTTTCAATGAACATTCGATCAGTCCGGCCCTCGGCTTGCAGCAATTTTTTTTATCTGGCCCTCCGTCCATTTGACTTTGACACCCCTGCTCTAAGTTCTTATTCATGGCAGAGGTGACAGTTGGAAAAATATGCGTCGTTCATCTTGGTACTTCTTTGAAATGGGCCCACAGGGGGAGCCCTGCCTGATGGGAGTGAAAAGAGTCTATAGAAAGTTGAAGCCCACGTCCAGGTGTGTGATGGGAAAGCTGTACTCGGTTTCAATGTCGTCAGGTCCCTGTGACTGCACAGAGGCTGACTTTGAATGGTAAGCTCTTTTTTTTTTTTTTTTTAACCATATTCCATCAGAGCTGCTCCTTAAAGGGTGCATTCCATCACATTTGACAAGCATTCATGAGTCGTACAACTCAGACTGATGGAATCTAAATTTGTACTGTACCGATGGACTCCCTGTACCTAAACACTTCCTCCTCACATTCTCCGCCTCTGCCATCAAGTCGCCACATGTCATCTGGTTTTGGAAGTTAAAGACATTGACATTGAAACTCTGAACCAAAATCGACAATGTCAAAATTCCAGACAATGGCTCCAAACCTGACACACTGGGAGCACACCCTCCTTCTCCTCATCTGCCCCTGGTATACCCCTCACTTACAGTTATCCCTCGCCTGTCAGGTGTGTGCTCCTGTCTTAGGTTTTTTGTTTGTTACTTTGGTTTCTTGTGGTTTTCAGGACTTTGTTTGTGTTGTGATTAAGTTTTTTTTCCAGTGTACCCTGCAAGTGGTTTTTGTTAATACATTTAGTTCAGCCCACCCTGCTCTTCCTGTCTTACTGATTTTTGGGGTCCCCCCCTATCATCACGCCAGAACATGACAGAAGCACACGGACACACAATGACTGACAAAACCCAGGGAGCGAAATAGACGCAAAGTGACGAGACAACAAGAAACCCCTGGACAAGACACAAAAAGGTTGAGGGAGCTGATTGGTTCAACACCAGTGACATGGATGACGAGAATAGGGGGAGACGAAAAAGGCACATAAAGGGAACCAGACCAAATGTAACCTCAACAAAATCAGAACACTATCCCAGCTGTCTTCGGGCAGTAGGCAGGGGACACCCTGAACCGGTTGCCAGCCAATCGCAGGGCACACAGACGAACAACCATCGGCGCTCACACTCACACCTAGGGACAATTTTAGAGTGTTCAATCAGCCTGCCATGCATGTTTTTGGAATGTGGGAGGAAACCGGCCTACCCGGAGAAAACCCACGCAGGCCCGGGGTGAACATGCAAACTCCACACAGGAAGGCCGGCGCCGGGATCGAACCGACAACCTATGCACTGTGAGGTCGACATGCTAACCACACACACACACACACACACACACACACACACACACACACACACACACACACACACACACACACAGAAAGAGGGATTCAGATTAATGAAACATTTTCATCAAAATGTCAAAACATGATGAGGTGTCAGTACTCTGTATCGGAGTGAGTACTGAAACATTGGTGCGTGCACTCATACTCTGTCTGGAAAAAAAAAGTGTTTTTGGTGCACCCCAGCTAATATAGTACACCTGAAACAGGTAAATTCGCAGGTTGACTTCAATCCCCTCTCCAAAACAGACACTGTAAAAAGAGGCCAGTGAGTCTGTTCCAAATTAAATTGTTTCTGTTTGGATCCTTACAGTGATTATGGCTACGACCGACGGACGGATGGCAAGTGTACGCCTGCCTTTTGGTTCCATCCATCAGTGATGTCCAGGAGTTGCACCACAGGGATGACCTTCTTGAATAGCACTGGGTAAACACAGGCTGAGTTCTGATTCAAAGGCTTTGGTTAAATGTGTAGCTCGAGATACTGTACGTTAAAGTGTCCGAGGGCCAACAAAGACAGATTGAGGGGTCATGAGGGCTGGAAGCTACATACTGATGCTAATGATGTGACCAACGTTATTGAATGAATGAGTATTAAATTAATAGTGCCCTGAAACCTAATAAAACAAAATTCCCTGTAAATGGTTGACTGAAACAGGAAAGACTTGATTATCCTGTCAATCAAAACAGAAAATAGCAATGATCAAAAGAAAAATATTGTGAACTTGAAATCATTTACAGCAGAAGCAAATAAAATGACATTCCCACTTTTTCTTTTTGAAAACCAAAATGTGTTAGCAAATTCTCAAAATTATTCATAATCCACTCCACATTACTTAGTGTTGATTTTTTTATATCTGATCTTATCTCCGCTTTCAACTGATGGCCTTTGAGATGAAAACTGGATTGGGTTTATCGAATGTATTTGACTCAATGAAATTAATCGTACACAATTTGTAAAGACACAAAACATAAAACTGTTTAATAAATGCATTCATATTTTTGCTGATTCCATTGCGTAGGGTAACAAAACATCACCTTTTACTGACACCTATACAGCATTTCACAACATTGCAATGGTGGCATCCCTTAACAATTTGCATTAAAATGCAGGCTCTGTCAAAAACAGCCTATAAGCATGGTGTATGCAACCTTCAGCTCAAGCCAGGATCACTTATTTTTCCATGCTGCAACTGCATAGATGGAAAGTATGTTTTTCGAAATGGTTATAATTCCGTGATCCCTTCATTTATCGCGGCTTCACCACATCGCATTTTTTTCCAAAGTACTGTATTCAGAAAAAAATGACGAATGACTCAGGGGTTTTGTACATGGCTGTACACGCATGATTGGTTCCTGGCGCTGACATCGACTAATGATTTATCCCGTGAGCTGATTGGCTTGATGCCCCACCCAGGACCTTCCCTTGTGTCCCGTCACTTGGTTGACTCTGATCAGTGTCTTGTCATGCTGTTGACTCTGATGAGTGTCTTGTCAGTTGTATACTCTCTGATCAGTGTCGCTTCACTCTGTTGTGGTTGCTACGTGGGGGGGGGGGGGGGGGGGGGGGGGGGGGCAGAGTGAAAGCGAAAGCGAGCGCGAGCAAACAAGAGAGAAAGAGAGCGGGGTGATTGGGCTTGTCCGAAAAAAGCACCACGTCTCTCTTTGCCTCCTCCTCCTCATCAATTAATTGTCTTATCATAAACACATCCGCTGCACGGGGATAGCTGGCCAACAGCTAGCTGCAGGCTTATGCCGGCTACACGGTCAGAGCGGCGTAAAGTGAAGAGTACCATCGTATTCGCCGCATTACAGTGAGACGGGAGACTGGCGGCTATTTGGTTCTGTCTCTTAAAGCCTGCTCCGCGAGATACCTTCAATCCTTCTGAGGGCCCTGGAGTCAAAGCCATCAAGCCTGGCCGCAAGAGTTATTCAGTGGCCAGGTTTTGGAGCCGTACAGGAGGACGGAGATGACTGAGGCATTGTAGAATCTGAGCTTTGTTGCCCGGGATATGTGCTGGTGGCGCCACAGCGGTCTCCACAAGGGCTGCATGAGTGAGGCTGCTTGGGTATGACGGCGGTCAACCTTTGTTTTGAGGTCTCCTAACCGCGATGTATTGAAGCCGCGATAAATGAAGTGCGATATAGTGAGGGATCACTGTATATTTTACTGCAATGCAAAAGTGGAAAGTGTATGACCTTGATTGGCTTCCGTCCAGTCCAGAGTCTACTCCGCCTCTTGCCCAGTCAAGCTGAGATAGGCTGCAGCACTCCCCTCACCCTAATGAGTTTACAAAATGGACGGATGGATGGAAGGATGGATGATGTAATGGATGAATTATTTCTGGGAGCCTTAGAGATTTATCATAGTTTTATCTGGGAGCATGTGAAGATTTTAATGTCATTTCAAACATGTACACAGTGTATTATTTCAATGTTCCATTTTTTCTTGGATGCCATTCACTTCGTCCACGAGCGCCAGCTGGTCGTGATCAAGCTCACCGATTATCATGGCAGCATAGCGATGATATTCCTAAGGCAAGATTTAGGGAGTCAACTGTGAATTTGGCAGCTGGAAGCTGGCAGCAGCATTTGAAGGCACTTTATGGTCAATTCAGTTCAGAATTGTTGTTTGGATTTTCTGTTAAAGAAAATGTTATTCATTATGACTCCTACTTTGGCGCGCTTGTATTTACAAAACGCAGACTGTAAATATATCTGTTTAAAACAAAAAAATCAGCTCTGTATGAAATTAATTTTGGATGTTGTTTTTTTTAATCTCATTTTAAAATAAACAGAGATGAAAGTGGACTTTTCTGAAAATTCCGGAAAAAATAAATAAAGAAATAAATAAATGTGTGTGTGTGTGTGTGTGTGTGTGTGTGTGTGTGTGCGCACACACACACACACACACACACACACACACACACACACACACACACACACACAAGTGTAAATACTTACCAGTATCTTCTATTTTATC